TATTTGTTTCAAACCATTTTTCATAGGCGGCAAACGTAGGAAAAGGATTTGCTAGATAGATAAATAATATGGAAAGAATCTTCGAATCTTAGGCTTTTAGATTTTCTTAAAACTAAAGTGACAAAACATTAATCTCCTGATTTTCGTAAAATACACCAACTGGTTTAAGCATTTTGAAAGGTGAATGGAATCTTCTTCATAGAACCAACTTAGGTATCATCAAGAGATCAGGGTTGCGTAATCGGACAAGCTGTTTAACTAATTGGCTGACTAATATCAATATATTTGGCGGCTAGTTTGACTTCAAATGCGTTTGGAAGTTTAACCGACTTCAAGCGTAATTATAAGATTTTTATAATGAATTTCCCCCTAAAAAAAACAACAATTATTAAAGCAATATTCTGTTTGCTTACAACACTTCCTTAAAACATCTCTAAAAGTGTAAGCCTAGCTCCTCATCTTCTTGAATTCGATTTTAATTTTGATGGTCGAATCTCTTCCCTCTTTGATACTTCTCTACAATTTACTAAAGCTGTAATACAAAAATCATGCAAGGCAAACACTCGATGAAGTCCACTATCAGTGGTTGGCAAATACGTAACATTCGAACATTTAAAAAAATATGAAAATTTTCCTCAAAATGGTAGATTATTTTTAAGAGAAGAGGGTAGCACGAAAGAACTTAATCTCAGAAAGCTATGAAACCGACTGGGAAGAGAGAATGAAACTACTTTTAAATTATTGTATCATAGTGTTCACCAGCAAATTTGAACTGTCAAGCCAAGCGCCTTTTAAAAGAATAATCTTGGACAATTATAGACAAGCTTTTGATTTCACTGTGCACATCACCTTTGCATTATCTAGAAATTCCAGTTGCAAGTAGATTAACCACAGTGTGGGCAGTTGAATGTGTGATAAATAAATCTTATGGAAATAAATCATTTTCGTTTAGAAGCCATTCAAATGTATGTATGTATGTATGTATGTATGTGTGTGAATATGATTATGTGCATTTATAAGTAATTTCTAAATATAAAGAGTAAATGTAAAGAACGATGTATACAATCTTCTACATAGAGCAGCTGCAAGTAGGCAGATTTAAATTAATTCTACATTTTGGCTTTGGTTGTATTAGATATCAGCCAGATAATTTTGGAATGGATTTCGAATTTTTAGCAAAAAATTTCTGTTGACGCAAAGTACTGCAAGATTTCTAATAGATCTATGTCTTTTTTCCCCTGTGCTCTTGACATTCGATATTGCGACCACGGTTTGATGGCAGTGCGGTGCAGAAACTCCTTATTAGACATCGCTGATGGGGCGACCAATTTTTCAAAAATTTTGCTCATAATTCATATGGGATATTGTTCTGATGACAATTTTTTTTTGTTATTTACCACATCAAAATTTGTCTACTCTTAAAAGTATTCGGAACAATCGCGTGTAGCTTGCTCGTCGAGTTGTTAAAAATGGTTTTGGTATAGCATCCGCTTGTTGCCGTCGTTCTAAGCAGAACATTTGAACATAATCCGGAAACAATTACAAAAATTTTGTCTGCCGGTTGCATTCCTCACAATTTTTGGCTGCATTAAAGGGTTATGCATTTTAAATACGAATTTACAGTATTTAGGTATGGAGAGGTTAACAAATTCACAAAAATTCTACATGCAAAACATGATTTCATAAGCCCTTGACAGCAATTGCAAGTGAAATGGAAATTGTTAGTAGAGCATTAGCTATTGGAAATTTAATTTCAATTTTTATTTCTGAAATTACAACGGGTCACCGAACCGGACTAATGTGCAAATAAATAAAATAGCATATTTATGCAAAATGTGTAATGTAAATATTATTTTATTTTATTGCTATAATTATTTTTGCCATAAAAACAGAGACCATTTGAAAATCACAAGAAAACGTAAAGAATGTTGAATTATAAGCCCAACTAGACATTCTACATACCTCCCAGCCGTACCATCTAACTGGGAAAGTGAAAGGCGGTCACAAATTATCGACTATGCTTTTTCTAGTTACCGGACGATTAACTTTTCACCAACTTCATGCTCAAGTTTCTTTCATACTACTAATAATTTCCTACATGTTACGGTGAAATCGAATCTTTAATGAATTCTAAATCGACTAAGAATGCATATTTTTATAATAGTACTTAGATTTTTTTGGTACTGATTTATTTGAATTTTATACAAGGGGATTAAAAAAAGCTCTGTAAGTTGACCAGAGAAAAAGCTAAAAATTCTTTTTGTATTTATTTGTAATCTTTGTCCTTTTTATCGTCTCTACATAATCGCCATTGATTTCAATGCATTTTTTATATCTATCCACTTCTCAAACAGTCTACTGTTTTTTAAGCTTAACAAGTTCGGCATTGACCGCATTAATTATCTCCTCGTTGCCATCAAAGACCTTTCCTTTTAAATTTTTTTTTTAATTTTTGAACATAACCAGAAATCTTAAGGTGTTATATCTGGGGAATATGTTGCTGGACGTATTTCCACTGTCTCAGAGATGGCAATAAAATTACACGTTATTTCAGCAGCGTTATTATGATGTATAAAGAAACGCCACAACTCCTCCTTATTCCTGTTTTTCCAATAAATTTCTGGTAACTCTTGGTAAGCACTCTTCGGTGTACCATTTTGCCGCTATCACTTAACCACTTGGCCAGTGCAATAGTAGCTACGATTTTAGATCGGGTGAAGTCAACGGCCATAATTACTTTTGCTGCTGATTTTTGTTGCTTAGATTTTACGGGTGGGTTTGCTCCTGTTGGGCCCCATAGCATATAATGCTATTTGGTGTCTGGATCATACTTATGGAACCAAGATTCGTCACCAGTAACGACTTTACTAAAATTGCCAGGCTGTCCATTTTCGAATTGGTTTAGGAAAAATTGAGCAAAATCCACACGAGCCACTTTTTGGGCCTCATTTAAAATTCTTGGTACCAAACGTACAGATTTCTTCGTGTATCCCAGAAGATTACTTAATAATCATAGACTTTCGTCAATTTTGGACTTCCCCAGAGCTACAGTGACGTGGAAGGTTTTGATCGACTTTCTCGTCGCTCGTCCTCTACGGAAAAACGTCCAGTCTGGAATCTTCGCAACTACTTAGGAATAGTCTTTAAAGACGGTGTAACCGTTCCATGTGCAACTTGGCAATCACTGAATATTTGTATTGGCTGTAATTTACTCCGAAGCCAGAAGCGGGTAACATGTCGAATTTTTGTTTCCTCTGATCTATCCTCAACTATCTAGCATTTTCTCGTCTCTTTGTTAATCCCCTGAGGCGATTTTCGGCCAAGCTCTTCCAATCCAATATGTGGTTTTGCGTCTTGATGTTTTTTCAAGAAATGGAGGGACCATCAGTTTTCTATGAGGAGCTTTTATTTTATGTCAGAAATACACTCGGAGGGATTGACATTCCCTGCCAAGGGGGGACAAGAAAAAGAAAATTAAGCTTAGTTTTTGATTTAAATTAATTTTCTATAACTTTTGGATAGTACGCAATGCTTGGCTAAAACAGACAGTCTGCCCCAAACCGTGGGATAAGTCTCCTCAATATCGCATCTAAGGTTCTATTGAGCGTATTGTGTGAAAGACTAAAGCCAACGGTTTAAGACTTGGTAAATAAAACATTGACTAAATATTCAACATGCGCCAAACCTTGGTTTATACCCGTGAAAAGAGCATAGACACCCACCACCTCTTCGACGAATTTAAAGTAGACTTCGACAGCATGAAAAGAGCTGCCTTTACGCTGCTATGTCTGGATTTGGTATCCCCGCAAAACTTATACGGCTGTGTATACTGACCTTAAGCCACTAAAAGCTCCGTCGGGATCGGGACGAACCTCTCGGAGCCGTTCGATAACAAACGTGGTTTCAGCCAAGTTGATTCCTTATCGTGTGAATTTTATAACTTGAAGAAATATTACTAGCAGAACTGAATAGAGAAGGTACAATCTTCTATAAGAGTGGTCAGCTGCTGGCGTACGACGATGATTTCGACATTATTGCCCTCAAAAACCGCGCCCAGAGTTCTGCTTTCTCCAGACTGGATAAGAAAGCGAGATATATGGGTCTGGTAGTGTATGAGGGCAAGACGAATTATCAAACAAACAGTCATCTCAATCGCAACTTGGCGACTTTGACATAGTTCAGTGAATCAAAACACAGCGGCTACGCTGGCTAAGGTTATGTGGTCCGCATGAATAAGAATACTCCAAAGAGGAAAGATCAGGCAAAGAGGTACCTGGTTGTACTTGGTATTTCCAATTTGCACTAAACAGCGAAAAGAAGGATTGAGTGGGACAATGTTGTTAAGTCGGTTAAAATGACGTGAGCGGTAAAGAAGAAATTAAACAAAAGTGGTGGTCGGCTTAGATTTGTTACCAACGTCCGACTTCGTACGGATCCTAAAGGTAATAGATTAGATTGCTCGCAACTACATTTCCAGAGAGCTAGTGGGGCCATATCTAAATACGAATATAACCGTAAAAACGTGACAATTTGCCTCACCACGACCTTCCAGAAGGGAGAGTAGTTCCTCACCGTATCCCGAACGCGTGTTCCAATACATCAATATCTGCTCCTGATGCCTAAAATAAGGATTAGTGTGCAATCAATCTATATGGTAGAGCTTTCACCGGACACACAATCCTTTTAAGCAAAGGCGGTGGTCCTGCTTCGATGATTTTTGATAAAATTATTAATAATTTCCTTATATTTTTGTAAAAAAAAAGACCCTAGTACTGTCTGGCTACTAGGCGGCGCCCGTTCATTAGCACACTTACCCTACATACCTCTCACGATAGGGAGCCAGACAATTTTGAGAGCGTTAACAAAATCGGGCCAGCGAAGCTTTCTTCCTATCTTGTTTAACTCTACACAGAGAAATCACATTTTCATACATACATACACAAACATACATATAAGTGTGAACTTAAATGTACTCCACATAACTATAAATGCAACGGCTGAAGAGTAATTCATAACATTTCATTTGAGATACGCGCGCGTACTGAACTGGTGGATAAATAGAAAAGCTCACAGTTACTATGATGGCAGCACTTAGGGCACAACATATTTTAAAACTTAGCGCAGAGCGACAAAGGGAATTCGTCAACTCCTTCGATGTGGTATTTTGTGATTGTGATGGTGTTATGTGGCTAATAGCGGCGCCATTGCCGCATACCGGTGACGCAGTGAATACGCTCAAAGCGAACGGCAAGCAAGTGATCTTTGTGACAAATAACAGTATACGCACGGATGATGAATATGTGAAGCTGTTCAGTGGAATTGGTGTGAAGAATTTCCAAAAGGTACATACATACATACAGATGTACATATGTTTGTGTGTGTCATGTACCTGTTGAAGGTTAAAGAGACATTCAATTTAAAAATCTGCCAATAATGCATACATACATATTTAACAAACATATGTTTCTAAAGCTCCAAATTGATTGCAATATATACATGTGTATGTACATATATATGTGTTAATAATGAAGTTTTTTTCTGTTTTTTTTTTCCAATTTCCAACAGAATGATATTATTCACCCGGCAAAGTCGATGATATACTATTTGAAAAAACACAACATTAAGCAGCCGGTTTTCTCTCTATGCGGCACGGCTTCCAATACAACCCTACGCAGCGGAGGCATAGACGTAAGGACTCTGGTATGTATGCGTTTGCAAGGACATTCATTAATTAAGTAATATTAATAATTTTTCACAAACAATTTTTCACATTTCCGATAAGCGCCTACGAGTATAAAACGCAATTATGTATGTAGGTGTTAAAATAGAAACAGTCATAACTCAAAAAATCTGAAATGTTCAGAAGAGCCAAGAAACTGTTGACGCTGTTCAAGGGGTGCGTGTGACATGAAAAAGGCATATTTAATTTTTCCAGTTAAGTAAGACTGTGGTTTAGACGACATGTGTTGTATTGAAATTTTTTAGGAGCAGAAAAAACGATTTTGAAAAATTTTGAGTTGTGACTATTTTCAATTTAGTGTGCTTCGTTCGGTGGGAAATAGTTCTGTTCGGCGACTAGATGGGCAGTAACAATATTTACTGAACTTTACTAAATTGTGTTCATTGGGCCATAAAAAAAAATAATAAAAAATTGGTAACGAGAGACTACAATTTTCCTGTTTGGTTTCGAGCGGAAGTCACAAACATCGTAGAGGTTTACTGACATGCCCAAATTGGAGCGTTCGGCGTAACGCTTTCTAACGTCAATGAGTGGCAACGCGCGCTCTCCTAAAATAAGAGCCCTAACGTTTTGTTGTTTTCTTTTTCTTTTCAACTTAGTATTATTTGAAGAACATTTAATAAATTAATTGCATTTATTTCGAACATGATACTACCAACTTAATCGGTGGACACCAGTTGAATTAATTTTTCAGTGAATATTTATCAATTTATTCGCAAAATAATTTTTATTTGTCAAGTTACTCTCCCTTTCGCCTATTCCTCTTCGTCAGATTTTTTTTCCGATCTTTCGCGCTTTTATCTTTCACATCTAACTTCATCATATAACGCGCTGTCAAAATTGAATTGTGGGATGTCCCGTGTATCGGTTTTTTGACAGTTGCTTAGCGCTCAACGCTCCAATTTAGGGATAGCAATAAATCATTTTCCTTATATCCTTTTTCGGCATTTTTTCTTATTTAAATTTCTCTCATTCCAACATGATTCGCTAACATATCTTTACTCTGCTTTTTGGTACGACATTTTCTTCTTCTTTGATTCCTTCTTTGTCTGCGTATTTATTCTGAAATTATTTCATTCCAACATCTAGTTAGCCTGTCAACTTGGTCGGAGCCATTATGATTTCATATTTGACAGCCAAATCCTGAGATTGTCAGGCAAATGTGAGTTGACAGATTTCCCAAGATTCCATACTTGTAAACCTCTACGATGGTTGCAAACTTGTGCTGGGAGAATTTGAGCCAGTAAAAACCAGCATGTTTGAAAAACAGCTGATTTGTGATCATATGATTGAATTTTTGCAAACAAAACAAAAATTATTTAAAATTAAAATAATAATAATACTTAAAACTGAATAATATACCACCAAAATAAGAGTCCAAATATAATTTTTCTAAAAAAGTAAATTCAATCAAATAGTTGGGGTTCTCATTAAATGAGAATGCGGTGGCAGTGTAATGGAATCATCGTTCGCATACCACCGACCACACTTTGATGAATCAGAAGTTTGGAATGTGGATAGCATAGAATTAGAATATATTATTATTTTTAGTAAAATGCAAATTGATTTTTGAAAACTATAATTTACTAGAAAGCAGTGTCGACCAAATCAGCCACAAAACATTGCGACGTCACAGTGACGTCAGTGACGCTAATGCATTCTTAACCTGCCGAAAGCGACGACGTTGCACAAAATGAAATATTAGTGGCGTTTAGAAAGAAAAATAAAGCTCTTGGTTGTTTTTTATTTAAATATAATCGAATAGACTCTATAATTATGTTGAAATATATTTTCATAATTAAGTCATCCTTCCCGAAAGTCTAATCGACTAATTGTTGCAAAGCCAGTTTTACTTCAATTTTCGACCTTTCAAAGGACTATTGGAAAAACTTATTGGTATCTTTGTCGTTGAAGGGCTATAAAGCATGCAGAATTTCATCACCGTTGTAATACAATAAATCTTGAATATGATTAATAAATTAAATATGCCAATAGTTGCCAAATTTCATTAAAATACTTAAAAGCTGAAAGAATAAACTATATAATTGAACGGATTCAAATTTTTCCGCCAAAATAAACAGCTGTTGGCTAATTTTTACTGGCCTTTCTCCACGAACACTGCTATTAATATGACCACAAATCAGCTGTTTTTCTTATTTACTAGTTTTTACTGGACGAAAGTTTCCCAGCACGAATTTGCAACTTTCTCTCCAACTCAACGACAAAAATGCGGTCTCGCGTTAATAAATTTTACTGGGTTTTTAGCTCAATGAACACGATCCAATAAAGTTTGTTAAAAATTATGACTGCCCATTTAGTCGATGAACACAGTTAACGTCAGTAAAAATTAGTCGGTAACAAAATGTTAAAATTTCATTCTCTCCGCAACAAAATTTACTGGTTCTTTTGCCTCACCGAACGCGATTCAGTATAATTCAGTAACAATCGTTACTGCTCATTAGGTCACTGGATAGAACTTTATGTTGCAACTACCCATCTTATATACCTCCCATCCATAGCAACCTATCTTATGAGAGCGCCATGTAAATACAAAGTTGTCGCCGCTTGCCTATGCCGTTACGGACGGTTGTTCCGCAGAAATCATTTTTTCCGTTAAGCCGGCTATTGACTTTTCTAAACTAATATTAAATAAACTAAGAAAATGCGTAGTTTTTTCAAAAGAAATGAAAACTAATTTCTTAATTATTTGTTATTCAAACATATTAATTATGAAATTTGCTGACGAAAATTGTAGGTTTGATTAAAAGTATGCAAACACAATGACAGCTGGCAACATTTCGCCGCTGTTAGCAGAGATTAAGAAGTCAAGTGTAAGCATATCGCTCTTCCAGTCGGCTGTTATGGACGGAAGGTAAAATGGGTAGTTGCAGCATTAGTTGATAAATGTTCGCCTCTTATTTGTTATGCAAGTTTTGCAACAAATTCTTTTTACCTTTATTCAAATACTATAAGAGCAATCGCTTTTATTTTTGCTTTATTTGCTCATTTTTGCTTCAATGAATTTTTTATTATATTTTATTAACCTTCAAGTTGAATCTGCAATAATTTTCTATGTATTTAATTGGCGCTTTGTAACCGCTAAGGCGATTTTCGGCCGAGCTCCTCCTTCAATTTGTTGGTTTTGCGTCTTGATGTTTTTCCAACAAATGGAGGGACCTTATTTCATGTCAGAAATGCACTGGGAGAGGTTGACATTCCCTGCCGAGGGGCGACCCCAATTAGAAAATTTAGCTTAATTTTTTATTTAAATTATTTCTATATAATTTTTGTGTGTTGGTCATATCAGTACTTGAACCCGGGCATTTATAATGGCAGTATATATATAAATGTAAATAAATTAATTTATGTACATGTGTATGTACATACATGTGTACCTATGTATGTGTGCATATAGAAAAATGTATGCCTTTACACAAAATAGCTGAATCAGTAACACCAACCGTGCATGATTGGACGCTACATATTAACGCGAACTGAATAATAACCCAGTAGGTAATGAGGAAGGGGGCAAGTGCAGAATATTTTTGATTGCCTTTCACTTGTGAGTGCCTAGAAACGATTTTTTTTTGTACATTTGGTTCAAGACTTCTGGTCTTAGACCAAAGTGCTCTCTGAGTAGTCTACAAACATCCATTTGAAAAATTTACTCCAATGAAAAAATACATTAGGCCACGGATGACAAGCCTCCCTTTGATGATTTGTCGCTGTCGATCGACCCAGCTAAGGGTCGAGGGCCTGCTAAAATTTAGCTTCTCTTTAAACACGTTTTCCTCTTCTCAACCGCCTGTTCTAGTATGTGCTGGTTAAATTTAACAGGCAATTACTTTATTAGTCTCCCTTTCAAATCAATGAATCAGCTAAAATGGAGACGAGAAAACGTTAGATAGTTGAGGATAGACAGAAATTCGCCATTTGATTCCCCAAGTTGCACATCGCACGGTTACACAGTCTTTAAAGACTATTTCTAATTGGTTCCGAAGATTCCATACCGGACATTTTTCCGTGGAGGATGAGCCCCGAGAAGGTCGACCAAAATCTGCCACTGATGGCTGTGGCTCTGGCAAAGTCCAAAATTGACGAAGAACCGGGCACAAGAAATGATTGCTAATGAATTGTGCGCGAATATTAAGTAATCATCTAGGATATACGAAGAAATCTGCTCGTTTGGGTACTACGAATTTTAAGTGAGGCCCGAAAAGAAGCTCTAGTGCATTTTGCACAATTTTTACTAACCAAATTCGAAAATCGTCAGTCTTGCTTCTATAAGTACGATTCGGAAAGTAAGCATCAGTCCGTGGTATGGAACCCACCCGTACAATCTAAGCAACAAAAATCAGTAGCAAAAGTGACATCATTACTTTGAATATAAATACAAAAGGATTTTTAGTTTTTTTTTCTGGTCAATTTATCGAACTTTTTTTAATCCCCTCGTACATACAGCTGTTGGCAACTAATTAGAAACGCTCTATATATGTGATATTTGATTAAAAACAGCACTTGCATTGTTTTTGCTACTCTATTCAAGTGCTATTAATAACTTCCCACATTACTTGGTGCAAAGTTAATAAAGTGTAACGTTGTGCTGTTTTAGTGATAATATGACTAATCTTTTGTATGTAGGAATTTATCTAAAATTTATTATTTAAAATAAAATAAAATTTTTATCTCAAGATTTGTGATTAGAAAACACAGCAGCTGTACGCCTGCATGACGCAGTTCTATTTTTGACCTTCGTAAAGCACAAAAGTCACACAGTCAAATGTTCCAAAAAGATGAGCTTTTATGCCTTAAAGCATATCCCGAACTTAAAAACCGTTGCAAATTTTGCACGCAACAAAAGGCCCCGGAAAACTTCAGCAAGAAGCAGACCTCAGGATAGCAGTGATCTAGCGAAGAGACCTAAAAAAAAGAGTCCCTCCTCATGGTCGGAGGTATGTTCGACGTCATCAACCAATAATTTAATCCTCGCTATGCTTCACACGCAGTGAAGTATAGTGGAGCATTAATCATGGTATGGGAATGTTTTCCCTGGAATGATGTATGTCCACTTTATAGAGTAAATGGAATTTTAAATCAGGTGAAACACGTCGCCATACTGGAAAATGTTATGTTGTCTTGGGCTGGGGAAAATTTGCCTGTTATACGGAAAATTTAACAGGATAACGACCCAAACCACACCGCAAAATTAACAAAAAAATTGTTGGCCAAAAATTCTATCAAATGTTTTAGAATGACCGTCATGCAGTCTCTCTTAGGAGACGTTCAAATATACAGTGTTAAAAAAATATCCTAAAAATTGATGTCCTTTTTGAACGGTATGGCAAGCGATATCAGTGATGCGCTGTCGCAATCTTATAACTTCAATGCGAAATCGGTGTGAAACAGTGTTCAAGCAGAAGGGTTATGCAACCAAATACTCACTAAAAGTAAAAATATTATCTTAAGATCATAATTTTTTTCTGATAAAATATTTTCGTTTCTAATTGGATGTAGCAATCAATTCGTGGATTTCGCATGTCATTTGTAAAAAAAAAATCTAAAAATGGATATTGAATGAATTAAGTAATTAATAATTAATTATTAATAATTAATTAATAATAATTAATAATTAATTAATAATAATTAATTAATTACTTAGAACTTGAGCACCTAGTGTAATGGCCTAAAAAAAGGTGATTTTTGTGAATTTTTATTAAAAAAAATACTATATCAATAATTTCAAAATTTTAAGAATATATTTATACATGTTTCAAGAATATACAGTGAAATTTTTGAAGAAAAAAATTAAATATTTTTTAAGTTATAGTCGATCTCCAACGGCGCGAAAAAAGTCCTTCACTGCTGCGTGATGAAATCTACAAAAAAATTCTCTACTAGATAATACTGTCATTGTAGAGGACCTACGATAAAAAAAAATCAAAAATTGACAATATGGCGGCGCTTTAAAAAAATAGTTGAGTTTTACCCAAAATTTTGGACGTTTTTGGCCTGCCCAAATTCGATTTTTTGATCAGATCAAAAATCGATAGGTCATTGTACGGAGAACTATATATAGAACTTGTCGAAAAAATTCGATAGTGATCGGATCATTTGTTTTTGAGTAATCACTGCAGCGAATTCGGAAAATGCAGTTTCGAGAGAAACGCGTTTAAAAATGATCGTTTCACTCTTAGCTAATGAGACTCTCTAGCTGCCGAGTGGCTGCTCCTTAAACTGCTATAACTCAAACACTATTTGAGATATCGATTTTTATATGTTATTATTTCAATATGTTTTTTAAAGGTGTAATCAACCGAAATATGAAAATAGATCGATTTTTTTTTTTGAAATTTCACCACACTAGGTGGGCCCCTTAAGTTTTGCATAAGTTTTTGCATATGTTTAAACAAATCACGAAAATGTGTGCTTCAATGGGCAAGAAAGAAGATCATTAAATTTAACATAAGCATCGCTTCTAATTAGCGGTCAACAGCTGTATGTATGTGCTAGCTCTGTTCGGTTACTTTCTCAGTATGAAGAGATCGGAATTTAAAAAACTGCTTTGAAATATTTTCGAGTTTTTGGTTTTTATTTTTTCTAAAATTTTGAGGAAAGCAAATTTTGGAATTATAATTTTTTTTTATTATTTTTTTATATATATATATTGGAAATATATTTTCTTTCAATTATTATAGAAAAAAATGATTTTTTCCGGGAGTTTTAAAAGTTTCCATTTTATATTAAAATACCATTATTATATACCTGCATGTATGTATGTATGCATATTTTTACTCATAGGATGTAACACAACCCATTACAACAGCAACGTTACCAGAGATAACAGAACCTAAAGAGAAAGTCGGTGCTGTTTTATTTGATATAAACATGGATCTCAATTATACGCAGATGGTTGCGGGTACGCGTTATCTAGCAGACAAAGATTGTCAATTCCTTGCGGGCGGCACAGACTGGCTGTTGCCAATGACACCGAATTTGACGGTACCAGGTTTGTACTTCATACACGTTGGAATGCATTTTCATGATAAGGCAAATAAGTTCAACCCAAAACGTTTCAGGTTTTTGCGATTTCCTCGAGACCATACAGAGATTCACAAAGAGACCAGCAACCATTCTCAGCAAACCGTCGCTTTTGCTGGGCGAAATAGTTAAAGACATCTACCAGCTGAAAGATCCAAAGCGTTGCCTATTCGTTGGCGACTCTCTGACGCACGACATACGTTTTGGCCTCGGCTGTGGTTTTCAAACGCTGCTCGTTTTGAGTGGTTCCACGCCGATCGAGGAAATGTTGGCTGCGCCCGTGGAGGATCAACCGCATTATTATGCCGATGGTATTTCGGATTTTCTTAAATTATATGAAAATATTGGCAAGAATGCTTAGGCTATTGAATAGTGCATTTTGTTTTCCAATTAATATTTGTTTTCCAATTAATATTTTGTTAACAAATAGTAAAAATTCACTCATCAAAATATAAAAAACATTTAGGGATTTCACAATGTGATGCAGAGCAAAAAAAAAAATAAAAATAAAATAAAATAAAATAAAGTTTACAACTTTGCAGCTTAATTCAAATTTCTGCTGTGTGTGTCTGTAGTAGTTTTTATGTATATGAAAACGAGATAACGAACAAATTAGTCTTTAGACTCTCGCTCGTTTATATTGTGTGGTAAAGCTTAAAGTATTTACTTTGTTGGCGTATCTCAAAACAAATATTTGAGAAGAGTTTGACTGGTGAAATCATTTGGGTGACATTTGAAAATTCGTGGACTAGTGGTTAGTATTGGGTACAGTCATTCAGAAGGCCAGGGTTCGAGTTCTCGTTCGAGCAAAATCCAAAAATATAGAAATTTAATTTTTCCCATTGTCGTCCCCCCTCGGCAGGGATTGTCGGCGCTGTTGTGTGTATTTCTGACATAAAATAAAAAGCTCCAATCAATTGGTCGTTCGCAGTCGGCTTAGAATAAACTGAAGGTACCTACATTTGTTGAAAAAAAAAACAACATGGATATCACTAATCGGAGGTGGAGCTCGTCAAAAAATCGCTTGAGTGAATATGACGCTTTCAAAGAAGGCAATAGAGAATTGATTTGGTTGGGGTCCATGTTGAGGCAGTAGAACGCTTTAGATGCTTCAAAGAATCCTTTTTTTTTTTGTTCTAAAACTATCCAAGAATATGTTTTCAAAATTTATTGGCCGAGCGTCGAGCCGGTTCGAATGTTCTGTCAGAACTTTAAAGCGCGTTTTCTCGAGTTTTAATTTTTAAAAGTCATAGAACACGGTGCCGGTGATAGCAAAAATAATATACATATGTCCAATCGAAGAAAATCCGAAGCCTGTATTTCTTCATCCAGTTTGTGAAGAGGGTAGCCGAGCATTTGGTCGACTGTATTTCCGGTTGTCGTGCACTGAAGAAGTGAGAAATATCGTCAAGGTAGAAATTCACTTTCGAACAGAAGTCATCAATATCCTGGCCAGACGCCATTATCATGCAATCATCGGCATACGGGGTTAGGGAAACTCCTTCAGGTGGAGGAGGAAGTTTCGAAAATTAAATAGTAGTGGAGAGAGGACACCACCCTGCGAAACCCCCTGTTTATTTTTTTTTTTGGTTTTGTTGTTTTAAATCGGAATATTACCGATGATAGCCCATTCCTTAATATACGTTGATAGATCCAGTGCTACCAGGACAGTTCGCGCACATGCTCGGTTTTGGTTAAAGCCATTGACTATCTGAGCGTTTATGCCGATAAGACTCTCCTTTGCTGGCTGGTTTCCCCGGTTCGAGTAGCGGGACCACCCTGCCCGTTTTCCAGACATTAGGTATTATTGGGGTGGTCAAAGACAAGTTGAGGACCTTGGTGAGAAAGCCTGCTCTCGCTGGGCCAAGATGTTTTAGCACCAGCATGCTTATTCCATCGGGGCCGTTGGATTTGGACGATTTCACCTTCTCTATGACTCTCTGAATCTCTTCCCTGGAGAAATCAAGCGCCGCGCTGATGTTTGACAGTTTGCGCAAACGGCGGGTTACTCGTCGCTTCGCTTTGTCTACCGAAGGGTGCAGTGTAAAAATTCGGCTAAAATAGCTTGCGCATCTCTTCAGATCCGACGAGGGGCGATGACTGAATGAAATTTCGGCCGGTTTTTAGCGATTTGGCAGCGTGGCTTAAGTAATAGCAGTGTGGACATATCTTCAACGTTAGCGCCCAGTGTCATGTTATGATACTAAGAGGGTTAACCTCATAATTCTCCCAATGTGAATGAGGCTGCATAAACCTCACATGTCTATCTACTTATTGCCCTCAGTGCAAGAATTCTCGCACCGACACCACCCTAAGCCAAGGTATTGATACAGTGTGCGTAAAACGCCTCCTGTAAGCATACTGGCGACCGCAATAACCGAGTGGTTAGTATTGTGTACTGCTATTCTAAATGTCAGGGTTCGTGTTCGGGTTCGACCAGCATTTTAAATTATAGGTAATGAATTTTACTAATTGTGGTCGCTCTTGGTACTACCTGGTATACGAGTCTAGAACCCCGGTAGTGATAGCAGCGAAGATAGCCAAAGTGCCCAACTCTTAAATATGGAACCCTCAAGAGCTGCCATGAGTGCCAACCAAAGTACACCCGCGAAAGGGAAAAAAATAAAAAATAAAATTTTAACCAAGAGAGAAAGTCTAACAGGAGCTGTCCATGTATTCGAATATATAGCCATCCGATCAGCCTGTCGGCGACTCAGTTTAAGAAGAATAGATAAGGCGCCAATAACCCATAGTTTAGTAATACAAAACTTTCTTAAAAAGACGTCATAGGAATCGCACAAAGAAACCGACAGGCAAAGCAGTTCCTAAAAGAAGAACCGCTTCATTAAAAAATCGTCCGAAACTTTGTCTAAAAATTGCAAGTAATGATTTTGTTTCGTATGACGAATTGATTTTACGATCGAGCAAAGGCCTGCAGAATCGCAAAAACTATGTGTAAAATGAATCCTTCTAAATTCTTACCAGCGAAAAATAGAACAGAGACCATATTTCACGCCTTCAACTTAAACCTGCTAGAGGATAACAAAGGCAGTTCACACATCTTTGTCACAGATGGGAGGGTAACTCTTCCGGCCCGAAAGTAAAGTCCACACGTAACTTTCCACTAGAGGAAGTTGATGCACTCCCTAGTTATAGAATAGTAAGTAGATCCTGATCGTTTACTGAAAAAAGATACGAAAAGGCCAACCGTAACCTTCCGCTTGAGAGACGTGATACGCTTCAACTCTATGTACCACTACTTCACTCTTGTAAGACCAGAATGGTGATCCAGCGACTTTTGTCCAGAGTATGCTGAATTTATGTAGGGCATACTTCTCCAGCCTGATGAATAACAGAGAGAAAGTAACACCAAAATATGGCGAACCCGATTCCTCAATCGCTGGGGAGTGAACAGATGTCGGCCACTTGAAAAACAACAAAGCAGTGGGTGCTGATGCTTTGTCGGCCGAGCTATTAAAATGCGGCGGCGAAGAGCTGATAAGGTGAATGCATCAGTTAATACTTAATATTTATTTTATTATTATTCATTTTTTATTACTCAAAGTTAAACTCAATTACAAATGATATTTGTTATGTTGTTGTTAGAAAAAAGTTTCCCGTCTTATTGTATTAATGCTTTTTTCTCAATAAATAAATAAATATGATCGGATGAAAGCTTGTCCGACGGTTGGAACTTACCAATCTACAAAAGTGAGGATCCCACAGTCTACCGTGGGATAAGACCCTTCCACATCGCTTATAAGGTTAAAGTCCTACCGAGCGTATTGTGTGACCAGATATTCACTATGCGCCAAATTTTGGTAAACACCGAGAAAATATCAACTCACACCACTTCTTCGTCGATTTGAGATCAGTCTTCGACAGCACGAAACGTAGCTGTTTCTACGTCGTATGCCTGAATTTGGTATTCCCACAAAACGATTTTCAGCAGCGGTAGCTGAGTGTTTAGCACTGCCATTAGAAAAGTCAAATCCTGGTATGACCTACATCCAAAAGTTATACAAAATTAATTTAAATCCTCATCTGCCGTTCGGAGGAGGATTATTATAAATTGAGTGTCCCTTCATTTGTTGGAAAAACATCAAGACGCAAAACCACAAATTGCTCGGCCGAAAATCGGTCTCAAAACGTATACGGCTGTGTGAACTGACTTTAAGTAACATCAAAAACTCAGCCAGAATCGGGGAGGGCCTCTCCGACCCAAGCTAGGTTTCAGACAGGGTGACTCTTTAGAGGTGCGAATTCTTCAATTTTATGCTGGAGAAAATAATAAGAGCAATATAGGTAAATATACAAAGTGCCACCCATTAAAAAAGTGCACAACTGCTGACATCGTTGGCTTCAACAGCTTTGCTGTTAGTGCAGCTTACTCCAGACTGGTTAAGGAAGTGAAGTTTATGGGTCTGGTAGTGAACGAGGTCACTCCTTTCATCAAAAAAATAATCATCGCATTCGCTACTCAGCCCCCATGTCGCTGCTGACAGTCATATCTTCGGAGTCGTGGGTATCTTCGTCTATCAATAAATAACATCAACAATAATGCCAATAGGTGCTACTTTTGACTGTCCTCTCTCGCCAAAAAAAAAAAAAACTCTAAAAGTCGTTTATTATTCTCCTGTTGTTGTTGTAGCGGTAAATTCTTGAGCCTCTAACCCGCAGGAAAAGTTGTTGTGGCGGTTTATTAGCCCCGCATAGGATAATCTCAGCTATCGAGGCCATTCAGAATACGAGCAGCTACGCCAGGGGAAACCACCGTGTTTCCGGCGAGTTGGTTTTAGGTGACTGACGACAGACGGTTCTACAAAACGGAGTTTACTTGAATTTTATCCGGCGAAGGGCTGCCACCATTTCAGCGACTTAACGCCGTCTATGTCAACAGATTTATCATACTCGTCCTTATATAGTGCAGAGGCGTATAGTTCTAGAGATAAAGATGAGCTATTATCATAGACCATTATTCTGAATACTCCACAGCCCAAACCAATTCGTAATTTTTTTCGCTCTTAAATGCAATTTATAGCCGATTTTAAAATTCTAATTAATCACGGTGTTATATGTAACTACGTATTATAATTAACGACTGTAAGTTATCCGTTCGAATTGGCAATGTACGAGTAGTTTTCTCTTTGGGTCACATAGTTCAAAGTAGATTCTTAAAAGTATCAATAATTTTTAAATCGGGAATTATTTTGCGGTTTTTAATAGAACTTACATATACGTGTATACAAATGTATGTATTACATAACAACTTGGCATTAACATTCCATTCTTACCGTGAATTATATTGGCTCACATATTTACAATTAATACGATAGACAACGTACTTCTGCACATAAAATTGATTGCCCAGCTTTCCAGTGATTATTCAAACTAATTTATCGTTAATCAAACACTCAAACGCACGCTCGCATGCACGCACAGAGACACGCTGGTAAACAAGCGACACCAAAAAGCTAGAAGGCCTAACCACTTTAAAGCACCAACCGAAACAAACTAACTGTAAAGGACGAAAGCTTCGTACCACCAACACCCATATGGGGAATTGAAGTTGCATACAACAGCAAGCCAACAAAAAAAAAAAGGAAAAAAAAAATCAAAAAAAGAAAGAAAAAAATCAAGAAAAGAAAACAAATCAAAGCGCTTTCGAGTGTTTTGAACTACCACTATAGATTTTGTTGTGTCTGCAGCAGGGCAAGACAAACAGTTAAGTTATTACCATGTCCATTACAAGTAAGTTGTATTTGACTGTTTGCTTGCTTGTGTGTATGATTGTCCAAGTAAACAATAACGGGGTGGTATTTTAGGCCCTGAAACTCCTGCACAGGTTTTTAGCTCACCGTTTGGTTGGTCGGTTGGCCTTGTTTAACGGAAGTGACTACATTTCATGTAAAAAAAATGTGGGTAGGAAACATGAAAGTATGAAAATATTTGAACGTTTTTTGGTATAAACCAAAAAAAAAAACAAAACTTTTCGAGGTATTTGGCATGAGTTTGAAAATTATTGCACTAATTAAAATATAAAATACCGATTTTCGGCATTATGTGCAGGGCAAACTTTAAAATTGGTTATATTTAGCTGACACAGCAACAACAAATTCAGGTTTAGATGATTATTATCATTTCGTGGCTTATGATTCATTATCGTAGACGTAGCTTTTCTCAATAACTAACCAATCAATTATACTTAAGAAGCAGCTTTCTCGAAAACAATATTTGGACGTTTCTCAACAACTTTTAAATGATAATTTAAAATTCACTTGTTTTTTATTGATTTAAAAACGAATTTACACAGCACATTTCAGTTCACAAATTTTTTAGCTTTTTTACTGCATTTATTTTTCTTTTTGTTACCTTAAACCAAAATTTTTTTCTTTATGACTACAATTTTTTTTATTATTACAATAACAAAAAAATATGTAGTTTAGCGAGTAACACCACGCGTTTGATTGTTGTGCACAAAGATTTGTGATTGTTCGTTGAGTTTTAAAAACTGTGATAATTTGTATTGGGAAATAATTGAAGGAAAATGTGATTGAATGACATGTGACCTGTAACGCAGTGCGGCAAAATAAAAAGTGCTCATCAAACTAATTTCAAAGTGTTGCTTCAATACCGAACTGAACCGGAAACCGAGAGAAGAATACAGCCACACTAGTAGAATACGAGAATTTTGCGGTCTGCGATTAGTAATTGGATTAAGACAATAGACGACAGATACGCGGTAGAAAACAAGCACAAAAAGCGCGGTGTAATGAGGTATTTAAAATTGCTAACGAAAGCATAGTGCAAATTCAAAGCAACAGCTTAAATATATGTAAATATACATTTGTATGTAGTTATGTTGTATGTAAAATTTAATGTACACAACTTTTTCCCTTTTCTTTTTTGCTTTTCTATTTTCTCTATTTTACTTGTTTGTGCTATGCTTAGCGCATATTTGGTTTTACGAAAACTGAAAAGCTTAAGATAGCATTACAAGCCTTGTTGTTGTATGTTTAAAAATAGAATTATACTTTTAAATCTCATAATCTTCCGGATTGTAGAGCTCAGTCAATAGGCGATAGACGTATGAGGGTGCATGGCCGCCACTGAAACCAAACAAAATAGAAAAATGTATTATTTTCTATTAGTAACAACAAAAAAAAAGGAAAATAAATTCGTAAAATACTTACATATTCGAAATGAATAGTGTTACCAACTCGGGTGGTACGTAATCAAATATGGGACTATAAACTTTGGCAGAATGCGACGCCAATGAGTCATATTCTAAAACATCCTCCGCGCAGCCAACCAAATTAAATGCATCCTGTTCATATGAACACAAATGTACGGGCGATAATTTATACATAGGCGAAAGTACAATAACAGGTACTGAATAATGTTTAGCTGCCAAAGCGACTGTATAGGAACCGCAGGCCGCACGTAGACCGCCATTCGCCAGCACGCTATGTGTACCAATGATTACCTTGTTGACTCGTGACATCATTGCGAAGATCGCCGAGTCTGGTATAACGATTATCTCAACATTACCGGTTGCCAGGCTAGCAGCTAGGTTGTGTCCCTATAAGAGGAGTTTATAAATTTTATTACTTTTAAAACGTTGCTTGCTAGTTAACATACCCTGGAGTCAGGTGCACATTCAGCTATGATAATTGTTAGAAATTGCCGTTTTTTAACGGCACGTTTAAGAAAATTTTCAACACTACGTGAATGCCCCAGCGTGAGTATCACTTCGGAAGAGTGTATGTGCTCTTCGGCTTGTACGCAAATATTTTCTGAACTAGTCTCCAATTCGGTTTCCATTTCTTGTAAATGATCTAAAAGGGCTTCACGTAATCCTTGCTGTGGTTCCGTGTAGTCGACATTAACATCATTACTCGTTTGCGTTACCAGTTTATGAAGCGACATAGAAGCTTGATCTTCGGAGAATTGATGCACCTAGATAAAGAGTTTGTTTTTATTTTAAAGTGTGTCAATTACTTCACTACATACCTTCGCTTTAAGTAATTCAAATTCCTCGCGTATCAATTTAAGTATGCGTCGCGCTATACTTGCTGTTACAGTCTCTTGTGGCATTGCCGATTGCAGTATATGACCCTGAGTGCGCACTACATTCATAAGCTCTCTAAAAGTATATGTTTTATATTTTTACTGGAAACATTTTTTTTTTTCAATTTCAAACCAAAACTTACTCAGCATTTGTCCAGCCCGGTCCATTTATGATTTTCTTAAATAATTTTAGCGTTTTAGCTGTAATATTGTAAGAGCCTTCCACATTGCTGAAATATTACGGAGAAGGGATTGCTTATCCATTTGTTTCGTTTTAGGTTTCTTAGAGCTTACCCAACTTTCATTTCATGAATTAGCTGTGTAACTTCTTTTGTCGGTTGTCCTTTCATGTTGTTTAATCAAAAAATTTAAGTTTTTAAAAATATTGATGCAATATCTTCAATGTCGATGCAACTTGCAGCAAAAATATACTTTGTTTTGCGCGTGTCAGGTAATCAGCTGTTTGCTATGTCAAGTAACTGAAACAGGGTGATTCAAGTTATTTCTTTATTTTAACAAGATTCCAATCAGCACGTTAAGGATTGGTTATAATCGCGCAACGTAACGGAATCGTGGTGGTGAAAAGACAGTCCCGTTCTTAAATTGAAAGCAACACCAGCTGTTAAATTTTGTTAACCCATTGAAAGCAATGCAATTGTGTTGAGCTAAATTGAAAAGATACGCTAAAGGTAGATCAGTATTAATGACATCAGTACTGAAAGATTTTCTTTAAACCTAAAACAAGTGATTAATTTCAGTTATCAGATGGAAACATAAAATTCTTTACTCTAAATATACTTTCTTAATGTTGGAAATAAGCTTTTATATTCATTTGCGTTCTTTCTGTTCTTGAAAAAATTATCCCACATTAAGAGAATCGCTTAGGTTTGGATTTGTATTGATTAAAAACATAATAAATGCGATTAGTAACCTTACACCAGCTGTATGTAATTTATCTCCAGCGGTTTCCTGTTCACCTGGTTGCTTTTGTTTACCTTCCAAATTGCAACTCTGCAACGAATGAGCTTAAAACAAATTTGTAGAAAACAATTGGAATTTGCACAGCTGTGGATTGTATTCTGCCGCAAGAATCTTTCGGAACCCAATCGTACCCTTTTTGCTATTTGATGACAATTCGATAGGAAAGTTGGATAAATTCGTTGGTGTGCACGGATCGCGGCTCCGTTTAGCTTTAACCATTGAAATAAAAGAACAGTTTCAAGAACAAAACTTAGCTATCTATATGCATATAAACAACAGAACTAAATTGAAGCTCTTAGGAAGTAAATAAAAAAGATAAACATTAATTGAAGTGCTTGCGAAATTGCAATTAAAAGAAAAAAAGCCAATTGCAACTATTTAACGCTGCAGCGGCATAGCACCCTCAAAAATGTGTGCCCGCTTTTGAGTGAACCAAAGCTGGTGGTAAATGTGGAAAGCACCAAAAAAAAAAAATCAAAGATTAATGGTGAATCTGTAAACAAAAAATTTACTTTGCATTATTAGCATGCAGTGGGAGTGCAATCAATAATTTGAGTAAATAAAAAAAAACAACAACAACAAGAAACGACAACAACGCATGTAATAAGGTAGGAATATATGAGAAATATGCATATGCACATACCACATGAATATGTATTTAGTCAAAGCGTAAACGAAACCCTTCGCTTTTGCAAAATGCTCCATTTCTCTTTATAGTCATTTGAATTAATACAATTGTATATAATTATGTATTTGCTTTCTATACAAACGCTTCTTTATTTGTTGTGCTGCAAAAAAAAAAATCAAAGAAAGGATCTAACAATTTCGTACGCAATTTTGCGGTAGGGCTCCAGGCTGCGCATGGAACAGTGCGAATGCCAGCACCACAGAACGTGTCAGTCATTATCGATTTTTTCTTTCGTTACTTGCTGGTTGTAAATTCTGTGCTACAATTATCTAGTACTTATATATATATATATGTAATAAGTACCAAGTCGGTGGTTGGTTGGTTAGTTAGTTGGTAGATAGGTCGACAAATTTCTAAATAGTTAATGTGCGAGGGCGGGGAGATACCTGCAGAATCCACTAGGTCTAGTTGCATTCGCATGTGTTACGTCAGTAATGACACAAATTTGTTGCAACAAATAAATGTATTGTAGGCATTCAAATGATGATGGAGGAAAAACAGCTTGCTGCATCTGAAGTTTGCCAATTTTGGTTGAAAATTACCAATATGCATATGCATGTGTGCGTATGCGCCGCTTTCAATTGTGCAAAATCAAAAAGATTAGCGAAATTGCAAATAATTATAAATAAGGAACTCAAACACACATATATGTGTATATATGTATGTATAACTCCTCCGCAAATGGTAAACTGTAGTAAATAAGTAGGTATGCACCATTTTGTTAACAATTAACTCAAATTGTTGTATTTATAACAAACCTTTGCCACTTATTAAGCAATTCAGCTTTAACTTTTTTTTACTTCTAAAACAGAAATACAAAATTTAGAAACTATAATGGTCTTACAATTACAACAACGAGTCCACTTTCCAACCACCGCCTATTGTTTACAATATATATGTACGTACGGTTCTACATAAAGTTAAGTAGTTAAATAAGTACTTTTACATATGTAGGTAGCCTCGTTGAAATAAATAACACACTGATTGGTTATTTGGTAGTTATTGCAGACATACATACTTATCACGTATCTATTACGTATATGAAAACACATAAATATATATTTTAAATTTTTTTTCAAGTTACTTAATTTAATTTGTTTCATCTATTTCTTTCTTTTTTTCTGTAAATATTTATCATTTTAGGCGCGCTAAACTACAATTACTATGCAAGCAAAACAGAGCAAATAAGGCAAACAAATTTTTTGTGCTCATGATCCTAACAAAAAAAAATTTTAAAAATTCAATAAAAAAATTATAAAAATAATATTTACACACAATATTGAAATTAAAGAAGAAGAAGAAAAGAAATAAAAATATATTGTATATATGATGTTTGTATATAACCTAAATAAACCGACTAACCGCATATGACAACAAATTGACCAGTGAAAAAAAAAACACATGAAAATAAAATCCTAAAAAAATTGTTATAAAATAACTTAAATTTAAGCTGAAAGCGCTCATCTTCCCAGTAAACATATACCACCAATCAATCCCACCATCATCACCAACCACTACCACAACCACAACCACCAACTCCAACACAAATCAACTTCAATTCGTCTAAATTGTGAGAAAAAAAAAAACAAAACAAAAAACATAGAATTTGCATAAGACTCAAGTCATGCTAAACAACGCTACAAATTGTTCGCCGCATGTAAGTAGTTCAGCAATGATTTATCATTGTACACATTACTTAATTTTTCATTTGTTTATGTTTGTAATGATGTGTATAAACATTAGTAATTATTTACATACATATATGTTTGTTTGGGCGATATGTGTTTAGTTACAAAAAAAAAGAAAATAAAAAAAAAAAAATATGTTATGTGTTGTATTTGTAGCGAAAAATATTTTATGTTGTTATTGTAGCGTGTGTTTTTAAGTGATTATGCATATCTTTTATTTTGAATGATCAAATTTATTAATAAACAGCATCAAATACTCCGCAGTGAACACAATAAATTTGTTTATAAATTATTATAATAATAAAATTAAATGAAAAAAAAAATATATATATCTGTACTCTCTCTTACATTTCCGATATATTCCTGTATCTAACTTCTCATTCTTAGTATATAAAACTACCATAAAAAATTATGTAGGAAACACTCTATTGTTTTATTAAGTTTCTTTTTTTTTATGTAAAAAACACCAAAACATAAATATGTATGTATGCATGTAAACAAACTTGAGTTTGGTAGCTCTGTTATCAAGGTGTTCTTTATCGCGCTTTTATGTATGTCTAGTACATATGTACATATGTACATACATATATAGTAGGTATAGTATATACATATGTATGTATGTATGTGGAAGTGTAAAAAAATCACAGCCACTTTTGTTATTATTATTAATTGTTTGTTTACCTGACGATCACTTATTTTGGCGCAAATTGTTTAGATATTATAATACATACATACACACATAAATATGTATGTGTGCACATATATATGTAAGTAAATGTGTTTTATTGGAAATCATTACTAGGCTTTCTTGCTAGCCTACATTCACTTGCTTTGTTGCCATGTTCGTTATTGTTTGATGATTTATATAAAATCTATTTTGTTTACATTAAACGATAGTTTATCCACAAGCGGTTTTGTTTTTTGATTAAACCACATGAAAATTGTTGGATTGGATTTTTATACGATGTGGTTGCGTAGAGTAAGTTCATCCAGCAATATGTAGATTATTCAGAAGTATTTTGATGGCGTTTAGATTGTAAATGTATTTTATTATTGTTTTTCTAATAAGCAAAGGGAGAGGAGAGGGAGAGGGGGAGATAGAAGTTTATCTACGAAAATACATATTTTAATCTGAAGTGACTCATTAGCCAAAAGTATGGAAAAGTTGGCTGAAAAATGCTTTCAATTGATACAGAAATCTATTCATGACTTTACCAAATTGCTATTTGAATTTTTATACTCATTTTGAGGTTAGTTTTGACAACAGATAAACATGTAGAAATCTTAGGCAAACTGCTCCCAAATGCGCTAGAGGGGAACTGGTGCAAGATCAGCTGGCTGGCTGTAATCACAGAAAAAGCCATAATACTTCTATTTACCAGGAAGAGCAAACTGGCTCCTTTTAAGCCACCTTTTCGCCTACTAAAGTGCGTGGAGATCACCCTCTCTACAGAAGCTAAATATCTCGGGATAATCTCAGAGAGAACACTCAACTGTAGCTGGAACACGGCAGAAAGGTCGAGGAAAGCTAGAACTCCACGGCACGCTAGTAAAACGGCGAAGGGAAGAAAATGGTTCTCATATTGAAAATTCTGTACTGGTTTTAAACAACGCTAGTTAGACTAATTGTACTCTACAGCATCACCATATAGTAGCTGGTACTCGAGTAAAATTACTTTCAGTAGCAAATAAAGTAGCGTTCAACGGTCCGCTACTATCCTCGCAACAGGAGCTCCACCATCGTCTCGCTCTAAAACACTGCTAATTCTCCTCAACTTCTTTCCGATGCGTATGTACGACAAATTACAAGCGAGCTGCAAGGCAACTAGTTTGAATGCAACTCAACCTTGGAAGAACTGATGTATGGGATACACTATCTCTCTCTTTTACTTTTTCCAGGTTTTGAAGGCTATCGAGTACACTAAAGTAAGCATTTCACCAAAAGTTACCCAATACTTTCATGTTCCATTTCGTGGTTCCCTACTTTTTTTTTACTTTTTTAAGAAAAAACACAATTAATTAAAAACTAATGGTGCAGGCTTATTGCCATTCGAAAGCAAAATCTTATCAATTAATTTTTGAAGATTATCTCTTTCAAATGTTGGCCGCAGCTACGTCTCGGATGGTCTATCCGTTGAGTTCTTGAGTCCATTTCGGTGACTCGTTCGATAATTTCGACTGGTAACTGGCGAATGCGTGGTGTTTTGCTCCAAGGCCTGAATCGAAATGTGGTTGTCCGCATAGACTTTAGAGATATCACACATACAGGGTAGCCAATCGTGAAATTATCTGCTCACCAAAATGTTGTCTCAATAAGTTCATTGATTGATGCGATGTGAGGGAAACTAAATTTCGCTGAAATCACCAGCTTCAATTCCAGGCATCAAATAGTCGGTTATCATGGCGCGATAAAGGTGTCTTGTTGTTGTTGTAACCGCTAAAATATTCCTGAAAGTAATTTATGGGGAATGTTGCGGGAGTGACAGTCCTTGTCCGGATAAAAAATCTGCCTCACCGCTGGTAAGTTCTTGAACCCCTAACCCGCAGAGTTGGCGATAGCGGTCGCCATTGAAGGTTATGTTCACACCGAAACGTTTTTGAAAAAACATGGATTGATCGTATTTCATCAGTCCACAAACTACATCAAGCCGTTGATTTTTCTGGATCAAATGGCAGCTCTTAAACTTGTTCAGGATTTTCTTCGTCTCAAAGGCGGCAATTTCGCTTGTTTACTTATCCATTGAGCCAGAAATGAGCCCCACTCCTGAACCAAATTTGCCTCAATAACGTCGGATCTTCTTGGAACTTTTCAAGAGCCCATGGAGATGGAGGAAAGTGATGTCGCTTGGGTAGGTCGAGCGGCCTCAGTTCTTGCGCAAGCTGTATTTCGTACGCTTTTAATATAAGATCTCGGAGTAAAATGCGCCAAATCCTTCCGTACGTCCGTCTGAGTTAGTGCGAACGGCCAAATCGACTCCCCGCGGTCGTGTACACTCTCAGCTACTGCCGTTATATTTTTTTCCAATAATAAATGCTGGATCTCAAGATGAGTGATGGTGTTGCGAATTTTACTGGTAATGCGTAAGTTGATGGAAACGCGCGAAAACATACTTTACAGAAATTGAATTTTCGTAACAGAGTTTAACGATTTGTAAACGTTGTTCAGACGTAAGCCGTACCATGATGAAGTTCTTAACAGTATAGAACAAAGATAACATGACAGCTTGACACGGCTGGCGCGTGAACTGGTAAAACAGGCTATTGAAAAAAGTTTCTCTAGTCACAGTTTTCAAATTTTCTCAAAGTTAATTAAAACAGGCTTTAATCAGCCATTAGTCATACATTAAAAACAAACTTTTTTGTGCTCCAAGACTTTGTCATGATCACCGCAAGGCGTTTTTTGGGTTAACAGGAAGAGCCAACTTTAATAAGAAATAAAATTTTTTTTAATCATTAATCTTTTATATTTTTAACTTTTTTTAACTTTCTAATTCAAAAAAAAAAAATAATAAAACATAAAAAAATAAAAAAATAAAAAAAAATTAAAAAATAAAGAAAATTCAAAAGAAATAAAAAAAAAATAAAAAAAAATAAAAAAAATAAAAAAATTAAAAAGAAATAAAAAAAAATAAAAAAAATTAAAATAAAAATAAAATAATTGGAAAACTAAAAAAAAATAAAATTAAAATAAAGAATTAAAATATAAAAATAAAGAAAATAAAAATATAAAAATAAAACAATTAAAAATAAAAAAAAAATTAAAAAATATAAATAAAATAAAAAAAAAAAAAAATTAAAAAGTAAAACTAAAGAATCTAAAAGTAAAAAAATTAAAAAAAAATTAAAAGTAAAAAAATAAAAATAAACAAATAAAAGTAAAAATTCCGAACTTCCGTACTCCTCACTCTGACTAACCCCTCAATATAGAACTTTTCCATACAACTTTCAACAATATACCACGCTTTGCATATTACCAACACTAAGTATATGTTTGTATTTATAAAAGTATGTATATGCATAGTATTTGGGTTGCCCAAAAAGTAATTGCGGATTTTTTAAAAGAAAGTAAATGCATTTTTAATTGTTCGATAACCTTTTGCCATCTTTCTGTATTTAGTATTCCACGCTCATAGAACTTCTGGCCTTTACCTGCAAAAAACTGAACCAAGTGCGATTTTATAGCCTCATCATTGCCGAAAGTTTTACCATTTAAGGAGTTCTGCAAAGATCGAAATAAATGGTAGTCTGATGGTGCAAGGTCAGGGCTATATGGTGGATGCATCAAAAGTTCCCAGCCAAGCTCACTCAGTTTTTGGCGAGTGACCAAAGATGTGTGCGGTCTAGCGTTGTCCTGGTGGAATATGACACCTTTACGATTGACCAATTCTGGTCGCTTCTCCTTGATGGCTGTATTCAATTTGTCCAATTGTTGACAGTAAACATCCGAATTAATCGTTTGGTTCCTTGGAAGCAGCTCAAAATATACGACACCCTTCCAATCCCACCAAACAGACAGCATAACCTTCTTTTGGTGGATATCAGCCTTTGAAGTGGTTTGAGCTGGTTCACCATGCTTGGACCATGATCGTTTTCGACTAACGTTGTTGTAAACAATCCATTTTTCATCTCCAGTTATGATTCGTTTTAAAAACGGATCGAATTCATTGCGTTTAAGGTGCATATCACAAGCGTTGATTCGGTGTGTTAAATGAATTTCTTTCAATACATGTGGTACCCAAATATCAAGCTTTTTCACCAGTCCAAGACTTTTTATGTGATAATGAACGGTTGATTTTGGTATATTTAACTTCTCTCCTATCTCACGCTCAGTTACATGACGATCCAATTCGATTAATGCTTTGATTTGGTCATCATCAACTTCATTTGGCCGACCTGAACGTGGCTCATCTTTAAGTGAAAAATCTCCAGAACGGAATTTGCGAAACCAATTTTGACACTGTCTTCCTTT